AAATGGACGGTGGCGGTGCCCACGCGAGATCAGACTGCCAAAACAGTGGCAAAGGTCTTAATAGAACATTGGTTCATCAAATATGGCATACCAAGACAATTACACTCTGACCAAGGAAGGGCTTTCGAGTCAGAAGTAATTAACCAATTGTGCAGCCACTACGGGATCAACAAATCTAGAACAACCACATTTAATCCGAAAGGAAACGGACAGTGTGAACGGTTCAACCGCAGCATGCATGATTTGCTGCGTACGCTAGAACCTGAACAGAAAAAACGTTGGCCTGATTTTCTCCCAGAGTTGGTATATCTATACAACTGCACACCCCATGCCACAACCGGCTTTTCGCCACACATGTTGCTGTTCGGACGAGAGGCTCGACTCCCTCTTGATTTGTTCCTAGGAAAAAGGGAGAGTATGACTGGCTCATACACCGCACTGGAATATGTGAATGAACATATGAGAAGAATTAGAGAAATGTACAGGGTAGTACAGGAAAGACTAGAACATGAAGCACGGCGAAGGGAACCGCCGGTACAGACGAAGGACCCGCCACTCAAACTGAATGACAGGGTATTACTGCGTAGCCACCCGTTAGGCAGAAACAAAATCCACGATCTCTGGGGACAGGAGATATGGCAAGTCGTGGAGATGCCTAAAGTAGCAGGTGGCCCCTTTAAGATAAGACCCATCGATCACGCCAAACCGGATCGGTGGGCGAATATTGCTCAATTAAAGAAATATTGGAATAGGCAAGAAGAGCAGTTACACACAAGGAAATCCAAGACAATTAGGGAACCGGAAACTATAACGGAAATTCACATACCCATCCCGGAACCATATCACCATCAACAGAACAACCGCGATATACAAGTGGAGGATAACGGCAACAAAGAGGATCCCGTTCCTTCCAGAAGCAGAGAGACAGTAGACCATCAGATAAGTGGTCCGCGGAGAAGTTTGAGGAACAGAAGGAAGACGAAATTTTTTGTCAGCAACCATCAAGTCTTTCATGGTCGCGCTGGTATGAGAACAGACGGTGCAAAAACCTATAAAACTGAACTGGTGAAGGCACCAAACGAGAAGGGTGGATGTGAATTCTAGAACTGTTTTGTGTCTCAGGAAGACGATGTAGACACAGTTGATATGTGAAATAGGTATAACTGTCAATCGTATACGAATGGAACGTCGTGGACAGTGAGTGGAACAATAGAATTTTTTTACGATTGTGCGATTGACTTTGGAGGAGTGCACCTGCCAGGCGTTGTTTGTGGTTGAAAACACACAAAAAAAGGCAGGGGTGGATGTAGCTAGGGTGGGCCTAGCTACTAGTCACAAATCTGATAACGAACGTTAAGCCGAGACGCAATATTACAGTCTGACGCAACCGATAGCAGGTGGCTTATTGGATCGGACTGATAACAATCTCAAAGCCAACGCGTGCTATTTTGGGAAACGGTACGAGGGGATTCAGACGGCCTGTCAACTTTGATTGATAGGATGCAGATGTTTATGACACGGACTGTACGTTAGAACTGCGCAACTAGTGGTCGGAGACATCGAGTACAAGTATCGATTACTGAGGAATACAAGTACGAAGATGAGTACGAATACAAGGGATAAATAGGAGGGGACGGCTGAACTCGTTCTCTTCCCTCTTCATCGCTCGCTTTAGATCAGTCAGTCTGTGTGACATATCAAGTTGGTTATATTGTGTTAAGAAGGACATTAGACATGTGGATTCAGTTATATGAAGCCTAGTGAGGACTGTTAGGGGGTCAGTTGATTCAGACTATTATATTGAAACATTTCTGTTGATTCATTGTGTTATATTGAAGCATTTCTTGATTCATGTAATAAAAGGATCAATAGCGAACCTGCATCTTCGAGTCTTTCTACTGTAGTCGATGTTGTGTAGCATGAGTGGTTCAACTCGTTACAATTGGCGTTGTCGGGCAGGATAGACTCGGGGAAGGTCACAATTGGCGCTGCGAGCAGGGTCACATTTGGCGCTGCGAGTAGCCAAGGTCACATATATATATATATATATATATATATATATATATATATATATATATATATATATATCACAAATTAGTTGCATTAAGAATCTACACTGAGGGCACTTTCATGTAATAAAAATAAAAAGGAAAGAATACTCTTTAGACTATTGGGCAGATGAAGTAGAGTTAATATGTTTCTTAACCTCGGCATATGAAGGAAAGATGTGGTCAGCACTATGCCCAGTCGCCTTTACTTCCCCTAACATACCTTAAGTATCCATCAGAGCTGGGTGGACTCAAGGTCGTTCTAAAGACTTGAACCCGGATTCAAACTCGAGACTTTCGTGATGAGTAGCCTATATTTAAATATATATTCTAGCTAATATTACAATTTGTTTACATCGTCCCTTATACACATACTCATTTTTAATCTAAATAAATATTGTTTCAATATATATATATATATATATATATATATATATATATATATATATATATATATATAATCATATATAATCATACTGTTACAGTACACTATATAATGACATCTTAATTAAAGAAATACTAAATGTATATAGTATTTATTTATTTATATGAAGGTTGTATCTTCATAAATACATTTTTTATATATGTCATTAGGATTTAATACCGAGAAGAGTGTAATGTAGTGTATCTTAAATTATATTTTATAGTTAGTATTATATTCTTTAAACAAATACTTATTTTAATGAAAAAACTTGCCAAAAATATTTTATGTAATAAATAACCTTAAAAATAAATAATTTAGATATATTATCTATTGAATAAATTTACATGTATACTCAGTTGTCTATTACCTTTTACTAACAGGATTGTTTCGATTCTTGTGTGGGGAACTCAACTTGTTATGTATATTTCTATTACAAGAACTCATGCAATCTTTCCTTCTTGAATGGACCCATCAGAGACCCCAACACGAACAAGGCTACAATACGTTTCGTTCGTTGCGCAATGTTGTAAGAACTGCGTTTACAAGCTTGTTAAATCAAATGAAGTATGCAAGCATTTTAATTAAACGATTCAATAAACTAAATGCTGTATACTTTTTTCTTTTAATTACTATAATAACTTATTCACAATTTTACTTCCGAAATTTTTATTTTATAATAAATGTAATGTATCGATGCTAGTATCATTTTAAAATGTTTCCACTTCGTTCATAAAATTGGTAAAATATTGAAAAGTAAAACGAGATATTGTCTATAATTATATTATTTATATATTTTAATAACCTAATTTAAAAAGCTTTTAAATTTTAATTTCTTACATTTACATTATACTAGCCGTTATTGGCTAGGCTCTGCTTCAGCCATTTAAAGCCATGTACAATTTTAAATGTTATCGCAAATAATAAAATGTATTTAAGTTTACAAAATGTTTTAACAAAATTTAAAGAGCATCAAATAATGCTACGCTCAAAACAGCAACAGCTCGTGATTCTAAAATATAACCTACACATCACCTAACATTCCTCAATATTCCATTTTAAATTCAGATCTACCAAGCATCAGAGTCAAACCACTGTATAGAAATCCGCTTATTACTTACTTTACCTCTCTTGGTGAGCAAAAACCCAATACAATACAATTAAATTATTAAAACAAAATATATCGGAATAGTATAATGTAAGAGTATATAGTTTTGTACACTATAATAGCAAAACATTACACAGCGTAACATTTTTTTTAATTAATTTTTTTTTTAAAGTGTAACAAAATGTTACTCAATATCTAGTATAAAAATAACAAACAAAAATGTGTATATATGTTAAACTTTTTAAAATAGAACAGCATTGAGAAGAAAAATTGCAAACCAAGTGAACGGCAAATATTATTAGTACTTTATAAATTCACTAGCTGCATACCCGTGCTCCGCCACGGGGAATGAGTTTTAACCAACTATAGAAAAGAAAAAAACTAACCACACACACGAAAGAAAACACAACCCAAACACAAAAAACACAAACACAACGCAAAGACAAACAAACAAAAAATACCAACACAGACACAATACAAACACAAAGAAACACAAACAAAACGCAATTTGGTATTTTTCCAGGGTCCTACATCACCATAGCTATATACTTACCCATTTTTTGTGTGGCACCTGCTGGTGGTCGATCTAACTGAAGCCGTTTAAAAAAGATCTATAGTTTAACTAAGACCGCGGTTAATCTAGGTCAAATCTAGTTCCCTTTAAACTCCATTATTGAGATGGCTCTAATTTCCCCGTTAAAATGAGAGTGAAAAGCAAACTTTGTCAAGAACAATGTCCTTGCAACTTACATGCAAGTATCAGACCTAATAGGTCTGAGGAACAAACTAACAAAGAAACCTCACTAAGCTCTTACCGATATAGATTTAGTTTATTGTGTATGCATACCTTTGAATGATTTAACTCACACATTGAATATTCAATCGCTAGAACTTTTATATTTAAGCAGGCCCTATTCTGAAATCAAATAAGAGTATGAACAAAATCCTTATTTGCCCTCAGAGCACGAAGAAGATATAACTAAAATGATTGTCTTTGGTTAATTTTAACAAAACTTTATACAATGAAATTTAATTATGCAATTATATATCTCTGTGTGTATCTATGTGTCTGACTGTCTTTGTTTCTGTATGTCTGTGAACATGACAACTTCGGTCCATTATGGAACAAAGTGGCTGTTTATAACAAAATTATAACACAAACACTTAAAAAATTAAAATGTTTATTTCAAAAGCCACATAAAATCTACTAATAATCTACTAATAATGTTCATTTCGAAACGTTTTCTTTCATGTTTAGATAATCAAGCAGCTAGTCTTGAATGAAAATAACTATAATTGTTTTTCTCCATTTGTACTTGGCTATGCAAAATCATTAAAGTTAATAATAAGTTAATGTTTTCAAGTTAACTTTATCGTTTTGTTGTTAAAAAATGTAATAAAAACAAATGGGGAAAAAAACGTGTTACTTGACAGCAGTAGAGGCTGAAACAAATAAAAATAGTTGCTTTTTCTGGATGATCACCATGATTTTTAGTATAACTATAACTCGTTCTTTAATAGTGTATATATATATACTGATTAGAAATTAAGTAACTTAAAACTAGTAAGATGGATCAAAGGATTACTCATCTTTACACACTCATTCGACCAGTAGCTCTGAGGGTACCAAAATTACTCACATATACACAAACTCTCAATAAGGTAACCCTATGTGTAATTAGACCTTTACACAATCTCTAAACCAGATAACTCTCTATGTACCGAGATAAGCATCTTTACACAATCTCTATATGTACTTAGATTACTTAGAGACCTTAGATTAGTTACATTAAACAAAAGATTACACATCTACACACTAGGTAAGTCTCTATGTACTTACTTTATTCACCTTCTCCCACTCTCTCTCTCTCTGCCAGATAACTTCTAAGGTAACTCTCTGTGTACCAAGGCTACTCAACTTTACACACTCAATTAAATAACCTTCTACGTACCAAGACCACTTACCTTTACACACTCTCTCGACCAGGTAAATCTCTGTGTACCAAGGCCACTCACCTTTACACATTCTCTCGACCAGGTAACCCTCGATGTACCAAGACTACTCACCTTTACACACTCTCTCGACCAGGTAACTCTCTGTGTACCAGGAAGTGGCTAGGTCGAAGGAATCCACCAAAATGACGTCATCAGCAGTAGATGCCAGAGCATTCATCTCGTCAAATAAAGTTTTGCCGCCGACCCCCAGGGTGATGATTTTCACGCCTTGTTTCTTGAATACATCAGCAGACTTCACCGCTGGAAGGAAGATATAAGTGTACATGCTATGTTTCGCGCTATTTCATAAAAAAAAATACTGCTTTTAAACTACTTCTTTAATAATAAATGTTTCTTCATTATAACTCTTTTATAATTATAACTTCGCTACAACCATTCAAGGTAATAAGAGTTTCGCCCAAAAGACACTTGCCCGAAAGCCGTACGCCCTAATATAATTTTGCCTGCAGATCATTGCCCATAGACTGTTGTTTTCCGAAAGACGTTTTAAAAAATTGGACAAATTGCCAGAACTAATATCTGTAATGTGACTTAATTTTTCTTACCATCACTCTGAGAGCTAGATCGTCCATTGGTTACCAAGACAACGACATCAGCGGCGTTCGATCTACCCCCTACATTTGAACTGAAGAGGTTCAAATCTACAACAGCACTCAATGCCTTGTGTGTAACAGTGGCGCCACTTTTGAAAGCCAGTCCGTTCACAGCCTGAAGGTGATAAGATGAAATGGAATCAAATCATCACAGGATATTTATAATATTGTATTTACACACACACACACACACACACACAATCACGTATACACAAACACTTATATATATATATATATATATATATATATATATATATATATATATATATATATATATAATTTTAAAGTAAATTAAGTTAAAGTAGGTAAATGACCTGCGAAATCAATGAAGCGTCTGAATATGTATTCAGGTCAAAAGCTTTCTGGGGAGCGTCCCCGTACGTCAAAAGACCCACGCTGAAGTCATTCGGGCCGATAGTGACCTGACTGACCACATCGGCCACGAACTGCTTCAACTTGGTCCAGTTCGCGCTGCCCATATTGGCTGAACTGTCCAAGATAAACACTACATCCAGTCCAACATTGAAGGGACATTTGTAAATAGGCGTCGCTGAAATAAAATTAATACGACATTAATGCACATTTCGTTTTCCATTGTTTAAACATTAATTATAACCTAAAAATAAAAATATGTTTTACTAAAAGTTTTAGAGTAAAATCTAACAAAGTAAACCAAAACACTTTAGAAAAAGAACTTTTACACATACGTTAATCGTTTCATTTTGCGTTTTACTAAATAGTACAATCACAAAAGCAGTGGTGGCGTAGCAATGAAATAAATTGCAGAGCATACACAAATTATATTCAAAACTTTGGCCTGACAGGTTCAACTGTTTTATAGACCTACCGCCTCTTAGACGCTTGGCCATCGGCACCACCAGCGGTTGCAGCAGATCCACTCTGATGGACTTGTATGTGTTGCTTTCATCACCAGCGATGTTTGTGATGTTTTGAGAGTTGTAGATTCCCCAAGCGAAGTTCACAAGTGTGTAGCCTTTGGACCTCAGGATATTTGCTGATTGAGCGGCTACAATAGATGTATAAATTAAATGGTCTCTATCTACATTCTGTTTCCAACTCAAAACATAATATCCCTTTCTTTTCTTCTAAAACTATTAGAAAATATTGTGCATATATACATAAGTCTGGAATATTTCGAATATTTGTTAATTTAAAAAAATAAATTGCAACAACGTTTATAACTATATATTTCGAAATCGAAAACACCTATATGTTTTACATCCCATGTACTATAGTCAATACGAAAAAACAATTTGTTTTTTAAAGTATACGTAAATTCCCGATACTGTTTATATTACCGTTCAATACTTAGCAGTACATATTATGATTTTAAATTGTAATACTCTAAACATTTTATAATTATTGTGAATACGATTCCTTCACTATATACAATTAATGCTGAGTAGCATTGGATGTGAGGTTAAAAATAATTTATAATTCTAAAAGGTATCAGGAACCATTCAAATTATCAGAACTTGATAATATTTATAGATAGTTACTTTAACTTATCTGTGCAATACATTTAGTTACCAAATGCTGGAACATACCAGCATCCGGGTCTTGCACTTGTCCACCTGTAATTGTCACCACAAACTTGTTGGTGAAGTCCCTACCGCCTCTAGCTGAGCTGAACATGTCCTCTTTCACGATCAGGTCGTAGGCTTTGGCCAAGTAGGAGCCGGAATGTATGAGCATAATTTCACGGATGGCCTGTAAAATAACTTACGCTGTTATTCCACAAACGAGAGGTTCACTGTCTTACCGACTTTTAGTAGGACTATGTATTAAAGGTGAATCAATTAACGTTTTGTTTAGCTTAGGATAACGTGGACAACACAGAACCATCATATGTTTCCCCTTTTATTGAACCCAATACTAAATCTATTCATCTTTTTATTTTACCTGGTACAGTAAACTATTATTTGAATAGGTATTCAGATCAAATTCTTTGCGAGCGTCGTCACTGAAGGAAACAGCACCAAACCGGAAGTCGTTTGGTCCGAGAGTGAAGTTCTGTGTCAGTAAAGCTAATATTCCCTGCTGCCACAGGTAAGCTGCTCCGTTCACATTTCCAGATGAGTCGGTCACTAGAATCACATCAGCCTTCTTCCCTGTTGTATGGCGAAAAAAACAAAGAACCATTCAGTAGGCCTACATATTGTGTACATCAATATCTATAAAAGCAAAGTTGTTCTTTTTTTTGTACCTCACACCTAATAGATCGGGTAATTGCAGGTAAGTTGCGGGGAAATTGTTCTTGACAAAATGTGCAGTTCACACTAGTTTTTAACGGGAAAATTAGGGCTATCTTAAAAATTGCGTTTAAAGTGACCGAAAACTGAACACAACAGACTAAATCAACACATGCACAAAAAACTGAAGGTTGGGTGTAGCGAAATGTGCCCTTGTGGCAAGGCCCCGGAAAACACGGAGCACGTACTCCAGGAATGTACGTTGTATAGCCAGGCGCGAGTCAGACACTGGCCCCAGCCCACCCCACTCAGGGAAAAATTATATGGGGCACCTGACAAACTGGAGACCACAGTCCGGTTTGTCCACGAAGTTGGACTTGTTGTCTGAATCCTCCACCATATTCACAATTAAGAACGAAGAAGAAGAAGAAGATGAACTAGACTGACAGCGGCCTTATATAAACCATACATTTTTAAAAGTGCTTGAATTATATCGACCACTAACAGATGTTGCACAAACGTGATATTTAGTAAAGTGATAGCTTTGGTGCTGTAATTACATGGAAAAATACCAGATTCTCAGAAATTATATATTAAGGGGTTAAGAATTAAACAGATTTACCATTTAATTGTAACTATTAAACACGCGCAACTGCGTCTTTAATTTAACTTTTAATATCCCTCAGGGTATATGTCGGTTAATTTTAGAGTCGAAGACTGCTGCTGTTTTATGTATTGCACAATAATTTTTCTTAAAACATTATGTAAACGAATATATAGGTGAGTTAAAATTTACATTTGAAGTTGGTTATAAATAGCTGGAGCAACGCCTAGCCGACAACGCCTAGTAAAATATAAAATTCTCACATTACACCCGTAATTTTATAAAATGACAGAACGTTTTAAATGATACACTTTTTGCATTGTAAAATAGAATTTAGTAAACATGGGAGCTAATGCATGCAATATACATCGCATTATTGTAATACATTTTACATTATAATTAACTACATTGCATAAATAGCGTGAAATGGATTTTTTTATATTAATACATTTTTTTAAAAAATCCTTACCAGTTTCTGCTGTGGATACTGAAACACAAAATATTGTACTTTTACAATTACGAAAAAAGCATGATGGTCTAAATTATACAACCAATTATAAATTTAACAAATGGTGTAGAACAAGTAAAATAGTAAAATTTAAACATTAGTAGCAAATTTGCTTTAAACGAAATCTAAATGTATGTCTGCAGTATTTAAAAACGGCACAAATATGGCATTTATATCCTAATATACGGTAATAAAGGGGAGGTAATCAAAAGGTAAACTAACCTTTACAAAGCCTGTTGACCAGTTTGTTCTTCAGGTTTGACAGCATGTCGACTGTGCTTGACACGATGACGTCATCGACACTCGAGGCTATAGCGTTGAGCTCTGAGGTCAGCACGCCATCACCTACACCCACGGTCAGAATACTGACATTCTGTTTCTTTATTACATCAGCTGCTTTCAGAGCTGAAGTGAAAAATCACAGACAGTCAGTTGAATGAGAAGTATCTCGATAGATAATATGTTTTATCAGTCGAAATTAATTGCATCAATATTATATGATCGTTTTATTATATGTAAAATATTAATATTTTACATTAGTTTTGATAAACCGATGTCGTATTAATTGAAATATAAACACATTTTTATCGTCGAATCGATGACTTAATTATACAACACGGAATTAACATTGATAGCTTATGTAAAGAAGTTTATGTAAGTTTGTACTTACTATCACTCAGAGATGCAGATTTCTTATCTGTGATGACCACAAGAAACTTCTTCGCCCCTTGTCTGTTAGCCAGTTTATCGCCAAACATTTGCCACTGGCCGACCGCATTCAAAGGTTTATCCAATAAATCTCCAGCCTTTAAATAGGGGTTTCCCTTTAAATCCTAGCAAGAATTAAAGTGTTAATAGAAATGTTATGATATAATATATGTCGATTGAAATAATATGAGCGGAACTAAAAGGAATGTAAAAGATACTTATATATCTATTTATAATTAGTACGGTTAAATATAATATTAGTATTATTTAAAATAAATGTATTTAATGTATTAGTTCAGTAAATTTTATTCTTTTTTTTTTCTTATATGTTAGTTAAAATACAATATTTGACATTAATTTTAATTACATTAAAAAAAGAATTGTAGTTTCAGTAGGTCTTAAAAATATATAGATACCTATTGGAGTAAAGTTTGCATTCTTTAAAACCAATGATTCTTAAGTCAGCACACGTCGTAATCAATATAGTATGTTCTCAAAACCAAGTCATTACATATTATACACCGCAAGTAGTGACAAACAACAGGTCAAAATTCGGCAATTTTCTAAAGTATAAATCGCGAACACCATCACGACTAGCACCTATGTAATGGCCGACATAACAATGACTTTTAATAACTTACGTAATATCATATTAGGTCACCAATTGCATTTGCTTGCGTTTAAAAACCAGTATGGGAAAACATTTGCTCAGGTTTTATCATGATGAAATTGAGTCACTCGTTTTGAAAAAAAAGCAAACTCACAATTCTACAAACACATATTCTCAACGGCCTCCATAGAAATCTATTTCATCAAACATAAATATATGGGATATTACTTTTTCAATTGCAGCAGAGTCTGTGTAGTTTCTGAAGTCTACCAGCTTGTAAACATTTTGTTGGTTGGAGACGACTCCAAACCTGGCATCGTTGGGGCCGAGATAAAATTTACTGGTGGTGTTCACAACCAGCTGGATAATCTTGTTGACTTTGTCGCCGCCGTTGTCCGAATAGTTCAGGATAAAGATTACATCCACCTGTTGCTGTCTAGGACACCTCAGAGGGAGAAGACTTGCTGTTGATTTAAATTGTGTGGAATAATACGTTAAGTAGTATTCTGACATCTTACAAATCATTATAATCTCACTAGGTACGAGTATTTAGTAAGTGTACACGGAAAAGATTTTAAATATGTAGCATGATAGATATAACCATATAATCGCCTAATATTAATTATTTAATACTTGCTGATGACTTTTTAATAAGCAATATTATTCATGAGTGTTAAACCCAAAATTTAATTAGCAAAAAGATACCGACTACGTAGTGTGACTTGCCTTGTAGATTTGACTTTGGTGTCGTTGGAGCTGCTGTAGTCGAGGATGCAGCGTTTGGATCAAAGCAATAAACGAAAGTTTGATTCAACGACATTAATGGCAAACATGACTTGAACGCAAACTTTGCTACAAATTCATAAACAACCCCATAGCTAAAAATGAACTGCCTTATTTCATTTTTATTAATAATAAATTAAACGGATTACGAAAAATTAAAATGTATTACTTGTAGCCTACTCGAGTATAGTTTCATTCTTGTTCATGTATACATAGATTTGACAATTTATACGTAGGTAGGATCATTTATACATATGTTGGATCATTATTTAATTTGTAGGTTATATACTTTATTAGAAGATGTCACTTAAAAATATGTTGAAACGTTGAAATCATCCTACAATTGGACCTAACATATTGAAAACTTGAAATCATTCTTATTTTGGACCAAGCATATTGAAACCTTGAAATCATCCTACACGTGGAACTAACATATTGAAACCTTGAAATCATCCTACATTCGGACCTAAATGTTGAAACCTTTACCTGTGCACAGTTTGTCCACCAGATCGTTGCGCACGCCAACCAGCTGTTCGAAGTAGCTGACTAGAAGTATATCTGCGTAAGAGGAGCTGATCTTGCTCATCTCTACATATGGACAGGTAGTGCCCAAACACACTGAGAGTATGCGTATGCCGCTTTTCTTTAGCGAATCGGCCAGATTCACAGCTGTTAAATAACGCAATCAAAATTTGATAAGTCATGTACATATAGTAATAAGTGATATCATGTTATAGATACATAATTATAGTTAACAATGTATTTTAATTGTTACTAAATTTTAAATGTATAATGATACAGGATATTTTGTTTTATGCTGAATAAATAATATTCTCATAAAACTTTATAGTATTTTCTTTTGGAAAATGTGTCATTAGTGTAAGTCTAGACTTGTTTAGGTTAAAAAAAAGAAGTTAAAAACATAGGTTATGTGTAATCATTAATGATTATGTATGCATTACTTAGCTGTAAGGCGTATGATTTTCCATCTGTGACAAGGACTAGGTTACGCCGTGCCTTCTCCCTGTTGGCCACAGTGGAGCCAAACATGTTCGAGTTTTTTATTGCGCTGAACGCTTTATCCGTGTAGTCCTTTAGATTGAGATCTGTCCTGGCTTTTATAGTCTGGTATTGATGAACAACAGTTAAAAGTCTGGATACATTATACAATACAAAGGCAGTGTGTAGGAAGCTTTAGTTAAAAGTCTATGTTTTATATTAACTTTTTAAAAAGAATTACATATTTCTACGAAAACGCAACAGTTGAAGGTTTTTTGTGTATTGAAATTTCTTTTCTATTTGAATTTTAAGATAATAACTAATTTATGGAGGATATGTTGAAAGTTGTTTTAATTATACTTTTAGTGGTTGTGATAGAATTATTATGACGTCTATGATAATAAGATAAAATAAGAATCTCGATTGTTTGAAAACGTCGAGATCAGAAGTTTTTGAATGGTGTTGACATAGACACTGCAATCGAACATCATATAACATCATAATAATCATATAATATAACATTTTTTTCTTTAAATTGCTTTGTGCTTAATAAATATTTAGTTATGAAATAGTTTAAAGGTGACGGAAAAAACGGGAAAACATCTTTTTATAAAAAAGCGTTTCTTTTTAATTTATGTATGTATAACCGTCAATATAATCATTGATCCTTCTTGTACTAACATTAATAGGGTCAGTTGGCGAGTTTATCTAACAGAAAAACCGCTATTTTTTTTATTAGTGTCAGTGTTTTTATGGTGAAATATCATTAAATTTAGCATTGCTTTCAATGGAAATTTGCCGTACCAAATTTTGAAAAGTCGGAAAAAAAATATTCTAGAGCGTTTTCTGTTTAAAAAAAACAACTCGCCAGCTGACTATATTGTTGTTAGTAAAAAAAAAATATCAATTATTATATAGACGATATATATGTTAGCTTATGAAATTTAAGAACTCAATAAAATGCTATTTGTTTCAAGATGGCAGCCATTTGCCATGGAAACCATATTTTCAAAATAGTCCTTGATGCTTGCAATTTTTTTCCTAACCTTTTTACCCTAAGTTAGATATAAACATACAAATCAATAAAACGTTTTAATTAAGAAGGTTTTTTTTTTCTGGGGCCTACCCCTAAAAATTTTTAATTTTTTTTCTGTATTTTTAATGTCTTTAAAATGAATCTGAACTATGTTCCAAAGAGCAGACAACGTTACCTGGTTGATGCTGGCCATGTCTGTCTGGCCCCACAGGTCCAGTAGATTGGCGACATAGTTGCTGTAGGTGACCACACCAAACCTGGCATTGCCCACACCCAGCTTAAACCTACCTATGACGTCAACAACAAACTGCACCTGCCTGTTCCACTTGTCGGCTGCTGGGTTGTAAAAGTTCTCGAGCACAAATACCGTGTCGATGAGGTTGTTGGCTGGGCAAGTCAGGGGCTGAGGTTGATCAACTAAAACACAATTACACAAGTTTACAGATTTCTCAAGCACAGAATCACTGACGTTATATGTAGAAAATGTAAAGGTATTTTTTTGATAAACTAGAACATGTTTGGTATACCATTAAACTTTATATTTAAGAAAAGATATTAGAAGCCCATTTTTCCATGTCCTGGGGCCTCTTAAACATTCCCAGCAGATTCACGTTAAGTATAACTAAGTTTTTAAAAATTGAAAACACATTTTCGTATTTATTTTTACAGTGAAGTAAACTAATTATAATCTATGTAATAGTAGATGTTCTTTGAATCAGCAATTCATAATTAGCGCCTAAATTTCAAAAACTTTACTATGCGCTTTATTATTTAATCAAAGATCAATAACTAACTAAAGTTATATGTAATGTTTTACTTACTAGCAAAGACGATAGGCAGCAAGCTCGACAAAAAAATAAGCTTTATAGAGCTAAACTGTGTCATTGTAGAATGTATTGAATTTTGTGATTACCTATATTCAGAGAGTACAAATAAAGATCAGGAATAATGCAAAACATTTACTTTCTTGCCCAACAGTAGTATCAATAGTAGGGTCTACCTACAAGTTGTAAAACCGAAATAATTAGCCAATTGACGGATACGTAATTTATCTTGATTGATGTGTGTGAACAATATTACAAACTAAACATAAATTAAGCATAAGACATGGAAAATCAATTTAAAAACAGTACATTACAAAATGTACAAAGAAAATATTTAAAAAATAAGCAAGCAGTATTTAAAGCGAAATATATTAGTAAATGCACAATCATTAAAACGAGGAATGTTAGCTCATAAAATCAAAATACTACCGTTCCTGTTCTATCGAGTAGCGAGAAGGATACACTTTGACGTTTTATTTTGTAGACGAGATTTTGTATAGTTGCTTCCACGCCTGTATCTTTATACGTTTCGCTCAACAGATTTTTTACATAACGATACAATTATCATTTAAATTTATTATCACATGTTGCCAACATTATAAGTGACTCACGCTGGCTGTGGACAAACATGGTGAGTTAACCATTTAAAAATATATTTTAGAAAAGACAGCAAAAATGTTTTTTCTCATATATAAAATAGAGATTTGTTAGTTAGTATTTGGTTCATTATGATTATAACGCTTTGATACGGTAGGACACTACTGCCACTACTGTATTTTCTTAAGTGATATTCACAATTTATTTTCCTTTTGAGCGTGCTTTGTTTTAATTCGTCCATATATGTTTGACTTATTTAAAAGATACGATTTTAGAAATAATTAAACTTAATACCCCCACCACACACACACAACGTCTTGTTGTAATGTTCCTCTAGATTTATGTTTGCACTATTAAATTATTAGTATTCGTGAATTTCAAAGTTTTATTTGTCGCACTTTAAAATTTGCTCGTCAAATGATCCATTCAGTGCAGTACTTTTAATTTGTATCGCGTATATGGCATAGAGTGAGCGTTTGGATATTGTATACCTTTATCTTTGAGTAAATATATAATAATACTAGGCATACTGCCTAGTTTTCCTGAAAGGCCAAGCCATTTACATAGGAGCATGCAAAAAATTAGCCAGAGATACCGAGTTTAAGTACCCGCGTATATGGCATAGAGTGAGCGTTTGGATATTGTATACCTTTATCTTTGAGTAAATATATAATAATACTAGGCATACTGCCTAGTTTTCCTGAAAGGCCAAGCCATTTACATAGGAGCATGCAAAAAATTAGCCAGAGATACCGAGTTTAAGTACCCTAAAATCCGCGTTGAAATAACCCTCAGTTGTTCCCATAAAATACAAAGATTATATAGGGAAATACAACTGGTTAGTTTTGACCCATTTGCATATTTTTCCCGGCTGTGGCGAGTTTTTTGTGACATCCCTAGGTGTTCTCCTACCACCTCACAAAATATCAAGGGGGGTCGTTCGGCAGGAACTTTTTTTTTCGTAATATAGCCCATATAAGGCGCCGGTCAGTCGAGGTCAGTTTTGACCCCCTCTCCGTGGACTTTTCGACCAACCGTCATCGGCCCTCGTGTTCCATCGCCCCAAGGCACCTAGTACCAAATTTGACGCGCCTGCGGCGCCGGGAAGTGCCCTGTCGGGCACCTGACCACTTTGCTTTATATATATAGAGATAATGTTGGGACTTTCTTGTCGCTAAAAATCATTTAAAATAGCATTTTATCAAAACATACAGACCAGAATTACAGGAAAAAAAGTTAAGTATGAAAATCCTCTTAATAATGTGATGGCCTAGGCAATATGACAAACAGCTTCAACCTCTAACAGAAAGAGAGTTTTCCATCAAAATTCCTTATGCTATTTTTTCCCATGTAACAAGGATATCTTTATGGGCAGGGATAGCTGTAATGGTTAGTTTCATAATTAGATTTCGTGTTAAAGTTCGGGATAATGTCAGTTTCAGGGCGAGGGATTTGGTTAGGTAAGTAAATCGCTTTAATTTAAAGGTAATAACCTGATTCTGAATTTTGTATCAATGTAGAGTATTAAAGATAGTAGAAAGTGAAAACATACATATACAAAATGTATCCAAACGTATTTTTAGCACACGTAAAAAATGTAATTAATGAATAAATATATATATATATATATATATATATATATATATATATATATATATATATATATATATATATATATATATATATATATATATATATATATATATATATATATATATATATATATATATATATATATATATATATATATATATATATATAAGTGTTAGTGTGTAGCATATAACATCAGGTATTATTTATCTTTCGGAATATTAATTACTATTTTTGTAACAGCTTGTGATCACGAAATGTCTACGTGGTCGCTAAACTTATTACTATTTCAAATTTGGCCGCTGTAGGTTATAATTGCACTGTAAGTTCTTGACATATGCCTCTTGACCCTGTTCTTTTTGTTCGATGACTTGTATCTAGTACACATTGTTCGACCCGCTGCACTGGACGACAAATATATTGTCTAGTTGCTGTCTGGTTCGTAGACAAGCTGTCTCAGTTTTGTTCCCACCTTACTTTTATAACGTCAACTCGACGAAAAAACCACCCACGGCCCTCATCCATCTTTATAAAAATGTACAGAGGTCAATATTATGCATATTCAGCTCAACGTGTTAAAATAATTTCTGATGTTGCCAACTTATGGCACATTATATATTTTAGGACGTGACTTTCTAGATACTGAAGGGAAAGTCAAAATAGGTCTAGGTATTGTAGGACGATCAATAGAAAAAATTAGGAAAATATAATCAGGTAAAGAGAATGACCTGACATGAAACGCAGTAGGATTTATCTAATCGATTCAAGCTAAACGAAATTTAAAACATTACATTTTTCTAAAAGTACACAAAAAATGACGTCATCAACTGTACATTAAAAACAGGATTAAAAATCGAATGCCGAAAATGATACACAATAATAACGACTTTATAATAATTGATAACCAAAACTAATATTATCGCTTGATTTATTTGTCGATAATGTAAAGTATTTGTATCAGTACTAAAAACCAAATACGAATAAGAAAATAAAAAACATTGCAATATTTTTAAAAAATTAAAATAAAAAAAAAGAAGATCTACATTTGAGGCAAATGTCATTATATTGATTTTGAAAAGTTAAAAAGTAAAGGTTTTATTACAATATGTATTATAAGGTTAAGCACGTGTAATTCTAAGTCTAAATGAATCGACTAAGTGTGAAACGTGAACGGTCTTATCGTGAAGTCTGATAAAACGTCGATTTAGCTAGTTTATTTTGGCCACTATGACTTAGGTTTAGTAGGAAAACGTTGCTGGTTATAGATGTAGGGTCTACCGTTAGTCCATCTGATCTCAAAAACGACCTTTGTGTATGGGAGCCTATATTTATATAAAAATAAATTACAACCCCCCCCCCCCCCCCAGAGAAATAGAGAAAAAACGACAGAAGTATCAAATAAGATTAAACACATTTTATTTTTTAAAATGTTTATTTCAAGAACGACATAAAATCCATTAATAAAATTCATCTCTAGATTTATACTTTCATGTTTAGCTGATCAAACAGCTAATTATGAATTATAATAACAGAGATTTTAGTTTATGTTTATGTTTGAATGAATAAGCAAAAAACGTGTTACTTGACAGCAGAAGAAGCTGAAACACAAATAATTGTTTTTTTACTGTATAACGAATATAATATTTTTATAATATATAACTTAATCATTCATTATATAAATATATATATATAAATATATAAATATATATATATATATATATATATATATATATATATATATATTCATATACAAATATATCTATCTATATATATAAAAAGCAATGTATGTGTTTGTGTGTCTGTGTGTGTGTCTGTGTGTCTTTTATGCATTACCACACCTCTTATCACATCACCGTGAAACTTTGGGAAGTTGTTGAAAATATTCCTGGGGAGGTTTCTCCGAAAAAACATTTCAAATTCGCAGGGGTGGCGCCCCGGCAGGGCGCGACTTGTTTTTTTTCTATATACGGTATATATAAATAAAAGTCTATTTTGATTTCACACTGTTCATCCGATAGGCATGAAACTTTGGGGAGTTAATTAGAATACTCTAGGGAAGGATTCTGTACAAAAATCATTTTTAATTTCGCAAGGGCGGCGCCACGGGAGGGTGCGATTTTTCTCAATATACGGTATATAAAAATAATAAAAGTGAATTGCCGCGACACCGTTCAAACGATCACCATGAAACTTTAGGAAGTTGTTGAGAATATTCCTGGGGAGGTTTCTGCGGAAAAAAAATTAAAATTCGCAGTGGTGGCGCCCCGACAGGGCGTAATTTGTTTTTTCTCTATATACGGTATATAAAAATAAAGTCGATTTTGGTTTGACATTGTTTATCCGATAGCCATGAGACTTTGGGGAGTAGATTAGAACACTATAGGGAAGGGTTCTGTAAAAAAATAATTTTTAATTTCGCAAGGGCGGCGCCACGGGAGGTTGTGATTTTTCTCTATATACGTTATATAAAAATAACAAAAGTGAATTACAGTGACACCGTTCATCCAATAGGCATGAAACTTTGGGGAGTTCATTATAAAACTCTAGGGAAGGGTTCTGTAAAAAAATAATTTTTAATTTCGCAAGGGCGGCGCCACGGTAAGATGCTATTTTTCTCCATTTAAAAAAAGTCGATTTTGGTTTGACACCGTTCATCCGATAGCCATGAAACTTTGGGAAGATGTTGGGAATATTCCTGGGGAGGTTTCTGCGCTAAAAACATTTTCAAATTTGCAGGGGTGGCGCCCCGACAGGGCGCGATTTGTTTTTTCTCGATAAGCGGCATATAAAAATAATAAAAATGAATTTCGGTGACACGGTCCAAACGATCGCCATGAAACTTTGGGGAGTTCATTATAAAACTCTAGGAAAGGGTTCTGTAAAAAATCATTTTTAATTTCGCAAGGGCGGCTCCACGGGAGGGTGCGATTTTTCTCTATATACGTTATATAAAAATAATAAAAGTGAATTGCAGTGACACCGTTATCCGATAGCCATGAGACTTTGGGGGAGTTGATTAGAAAAATTCAGGGAAGGGTTCTGTAAAAATAAAATCATTTTTTAATTTCGCAAGGGCGGCGCCACGGGAGGCTATTTCGGTTTCACGCCGTTCATCCGTGTACCATGAAACTTTGGGGGGATGATTAGATCACTCAATAGTAGGGTTCTGCACAAAAAAAAATTGTTTAATATTGCAAGGGCGGCGCCCTCCGGGGGGGGGGGGGGTAGCGATTTTTTTTTCTCTATACACGGTATATAAAAAATAAAAATCGGATGCGGTTCATCGGAATGCCATGAAACTTTAAGGAGTAGACGAGAATACTCCCGACAATATTACTGCGAAAAAGAAAACTAAAGTTTCTTATGGGCGGCGCCATGTAGGGTACAACTTTCGTCAATACACGGTTTGGCGCCCAGAGTTTTAGAGCGACCATGTTGGCACTTGGCATCCGTTAATCGAGCGACCTGCATAGCGTGTAAGGGGTACTACTATATTCAGCGGTAAAACTACAACAATCTTCTAAAAATAACTTTGTAACGCGATGAAATCCTTCTGTACAGTTTCGTCACCTTGCCAAAGATGAAAAAAATAACTTTTTTGAATATGAGGAGCCTACTGTAGAGTTTCGTCAATTTGCGAATGATGCATCTGCTATTAGACAATCCATTCAGAAATTGACGAAACCAGCATCATTATTAACAGGATGCTATTTGGCGCCTGTTAGTTTTATGGAGCCAGGAGTCGTATGCCGTGCCTATGCGGTAGTGTAATCGGGGGGTGGGGGCCCTGAGAGCGCCCCTCTACGTCTCTGACACATGGGCGGTCACCGAAGTGTGTTCTACCATATTATTTCGGTGAGTGATTAATGTACATTCAATGTTTTCATGCGGTAGTGTAGGTAAACCCGTGTCCCGATATTTATGATCCAAGCGCAGGCAGTGTTTACATTTAAATAACTCACTTTTAGAAAAGACGGTCACGCGTCTTAGAACATATGATTGGTAACGCGTTCCTGAAATCCTTCTAATACACTACGTCAAACTTACTTCTATCCCCGCGGTAACGCGCGGGGGACGGGTACGCTAGTATATTTATAAATATGCTTGTTAGAGTTTACAGTTACCCAAGACCATAAGTCTAATTACATTAATTACACATCTACCCACTAGCTCTACCAGGTAGCTCTCTGTGTATCAAAATTACTCAACTTTACACACTCAATTAGGTAACCCTCGATGTACCAAGACTACTCACCTTTACACACTCTCTCGACCAGGTAACTCTCTGTGTACCAGGCTAGGTCGAAGGAATCCACCAAAATGACGTCAGCAGTAGATGCCAGAGCGTTCATCTCGTCAAATAAAGCTTTGCCGCCGACCCCCAGGGTGATGATTTTCACGCCTTGTTTCTTTAATACATCAGCAGACTTCACCGCTGGAAGGAAGATATAAGTGTACATGCTATGTTTGTGTACATGCTATGTTTATGTACATGCTATAGATTTTTAACGTTGTTTTGTAAAAAAAAATTATAAATGTTGTACTTCATGTCTAGTAGCTTTAGGTATCATTATATCTTCATTATATTAGGTTGATAATTATAACTCCGCGACTACAATTAATATAATATAGTAATTATAGGTTTTATAAGTTTAGCCAATAAGATTCTTACAAAAATGTCTTGTGCCCTAATACAATTTACACGCAGACTATTACCCGTCAACAGTTTTTCTCGAAAGACGTTTGCTAGAACGGATATCTTTACTATTACTTATTTTTCTTACCATCACTCTGAGAGCTAGATCGTCCATTGGTAACCAAGACAACGACATCAGCGGCGTTCGATCTTCCTCCTACATTTGAACTAAAGAGATTCAACTCTACAACAGCACTCAGTGCCTTGTGTGTGACAGTGGCACCGCTTTTGAAAGCCAGTCCGTTCACAGCCTGGAGGTGATAAGATGAAATGGAATCAAATCATCACAGGATATTTATAATACTGTGTTACACACACACACACACACACACACACATACACACACACACACATTATCACATACACACACACACATATAAATAAAAATATATTTAAAAAAAAATAAGTAAGTGACCTGAGAAATCAATGTAGCATCAGAATACGTATTCAGGTCAAAAGCTTTCTGAGGAGCATCGCCGTACGTCAAAAGACCCACACTGAAGTCATTGGGGCCGATAGTGACCTGACTGACCACATCGGCCACGAACTGCTTCAACTTGGTCCAGTTCGCGCTGCCCATGTTGGCTGAACTGTCCAAGACAAACACTACATCCAGTCCAATATAGAATGGACATTTGTAAATAGGCGTCGCTGCAATAAAGAATGAAACGACATTACTACTTAATGTTATGTCATTTAGAAATTGTTTTACTAACATTTTGAAAAAAAATTAACTTCATAGAATAGAACCTGTACACACAAGTTAAAAATGTATGCATTTTTTTAAATTTAAATATTAACACAAAGACACGCTACCGTATATATATTGAACTCTGGAACAAAAAACTGAAACAAAAACTGTGGCTTGAGCGATTAAACTATAAACCTACCGCCTCTTAGACGCTTGGCAATTGGCACCACCAGCGGTTGCAGCAGATCCACTCTGATGGACTTGTATGTGTTGCTTTCATCACCAGCGATGTTTGTGATGTTTTGAGAGTTGTAGATTCCCCATGCGAAGTTTACAAGAGTGTAACCTTTGGACCTCAGGACGTTAGCTGATTGAGCAGCTACACAAACAAACATATTTTTGAGTCTACTCTGCTTCTCAACTAAAACATCTCGATTTCTTTTTTTCTATTCCTCTAAAACGATGACAAACTATTCTTTGTATTTAAATAAGCGTTAAATCTTTGAATATTTTTAAAATTAAAATGATTCAAAATGTAAGTGATAATATATTTTATTATTTTGATAAATGCCATTATATATTTCAAAATCGAAAACATCAATAGGTTTTACATCTATCTTATGTGTGATAGTTATTGCGCTATAAACAATGCTTCGTGTAAATAAGCCTAAGTAAACTCTCGATACTATTAACAGTTTAAGTATTGTGTATCATGTTTTGAAACTACAAAACATTGAGCATTTCACAATTATTGTTCACAAGATTTCTTCTTTTTGACATACAGTTAATGCAGAATAAAATTAAATATCTGATAGAAAATCAGTTATAATACAAAAATGAATCGGGAACCATTCACTTTATCGCGATTTGAAAATATGTAATGTTAATGTATAATTACTTTTAGTAATCTTGTGTTATGCATAAAGTTAAAAATGCTCATACATACCTGCATCCGGGTCTTGCACTTGTCCACCTGTAATGGTCACCACAAACTTGTTGGTGAAGTCCCTACCGCCTCTAGTTGAGCTGAACATGTCCTCTTTCACGATCAGGTCGTAGGCTTTGGTCAGGTAGGAGCCGGAATGTATGAGCATTATGTCACGGATTGCCTGGAAAATAAACTAAGCTGTTATTCCACAAACGAGGGGTGTACTATCCTACGGACGTTCCGTAGGACTATGTAGTAAATGTGAACCAAATAACGTTTTGTTTAGCTCAGGATAACGTGGACAACACAGAAACACCATATGTTTCCCCTTGCATCGAACCAAATACTAATTATATTTATCCTTTTATTTTACCTGGTACAGTAAACTATTATTTGAATAGGTATTCAGATCAAATTCTTTGCGAGCGTCGTCACTGAAGGAAACAGCACCAAACCGGAAGTCGTTTGGTCCGAGAGTGAAGTTCTGTGTCAGTAAAGCTAATATCCCCTGCTGCCACAGGTAAGCTGCTCCGTTGACATTTCCAGATGTATCCGTCACTAGGATCACATCAGCCTTCTTCCCTGTTGTATAGCGAATAAAATGTAGAACCATGTAAAAACGTAAAGGCGTATATACTCCTATCAAACATTCAAATAAATACACACACACACACATATATATATGTGTGTGTGTGTGTGTGTATGTATATTTATATATATGAATGTATACTAAAATCCATTGACGATTCAAATGTTCAGTACATATAATGTTTATAAAATATGAGAAAAATAACATTACATCCCTGCATTTCATTAAATACTTAAAGTTTTGAATAAGAAAATTATTTACATTATAAAGTAAAATTTAGGAAACCGGGAGCTCAATTGGCCAGTAGGCCTATACATCGAATAATTTTAATAGATTTTACCAAAAGTGTGAAAAGGATATTTTACTTTAGAAAAATACATTTTTATTGAAATCCTTACCAGTTTCTGCTGTAGACACTGAAACATAATTATGTGAAAAATAATTATGAAAATAGCATGATGTTCTAAATTATATCAACATTTCTATGTATAAGACAATACAAATGATAACATGTTTTTCAACAAGTAAATTTGTGTTACTATTTAAACATTATCTGCAAGTTAGCCTTTATATTATATCAGTTTTAATATAAATTAGCTTAAAACATAGTCCAAATTTGTTTCTGCAATATTTAAAGTCACAAATATTGAATTATATCCTTACATTCGGTAATAAAGGGGGAGGTAATCAAAAGGTAAACTAACCTTTACAAAGCCTGTTAACCAGCTTGTTCTTCAAGTTTGACAGCAGGTCGACGGTGCTTGACAAGATGACGTCATCGACACTTGAGGCTATAGCGTTGAGCTCTGACGTCAGCACGCCATCACCTACACCCACTGTCAGAATACTGACATTCTGTTTCTTTATTGCGTCAGCTGCTTTCAGAGCTAAAGTGACGAATCACAGACAGTCAGTTGAATGAGAAGTATCTCGATAAATAGTTATTATCATTCGAATATTGTATCAATATTATATGATCATTTTACTGTATGTACCATATTAATTGATATAAGTTAACATTTATTTTACGCCGATCTCTAATTTATCTATAAACAAAATGTATACCTCCGTATCGATGACTTAATTATAGAACACGGGATGTACATTGATATGAAGTTGTTTATGTAAGTTTGTACTTACTATCACTCAGAGATGCAGATTTCTTATCTGTGATGACCACAAGAAACTTTTTTGCCCCTTGCCTGTTAGCCAGTTTATCGCCAAACATTTGCCACTGGCCGACCGCATTCAAAGGTTTATCTAGAGAATCACCAGGCTTAAAATCGGAGTTCCCCTTTAATTCCTAGCAAGAATTAAAAATATATGAAACACATTGGAATACACATTCAATTATACGAGTGGAACCAAAAGGACAATTAATAAAACTGTTTATAAATCTAAATAGTTATGTATAACGTATACAATGAATTAACTACACGATTAAATGTAATAGATAGGATAATAATTAAATATAACATTTCTCTACTATAACCATTGTGTCTTTATGTAAATTATTTGCAGCTTTTCACTCAAAAAATAAAGAACACTTTAACGATTAATAATGTTTTCATGTTAATTATTATTCTACCTGTTAGTAAAATTATATTGTTATTTTTTTACTAATATAAATGACATAAAAAATTATAATTGTAGCTTCAGTAGGTCTTAACCCAATAGATTCATAAAACATCTCAATTCTTTACAAACCAATAATTCTTATGCCAAAACACGTCACAATCAAGAGTGTATGTACTTCGAATCCAATTATTATGCACTATTTACTGCAAATTAGTTAAGAAGACGCTGAACGATTAGTTACTTTGCAGATAACTTTTATAAAAGTGCATTACAAAAAAATTGTATATTCCTTAAAAGTTCTTCGGAAGTTTATTAAAGCTTGGTCGCTAATCTTCTCTAACAAAATAATTTAAAACAGACAATTTCTTTGCCAAATATTAGCATTCATCTTGGCTATAATATTCGAAAACATTTCGTGAACACCAGCTCACCTGAGAGTTCGCATTAGCTAGATCTGCTACATTTCCTTATGGTTTGATAATGTTTAAATTGGTTTATAATAACTTGTTTAATATAAGATTGGATGAAAGATTGCATTTTCGTGCGCTGGCAGTCGCTAGTGGATGAATCTGCTCTGGCTGAATCGAGTTCAAATTGAGATACACATTTCGACAATAAACACACACAAATACACAGAATTACAAACACAATTTCTCACAAACTCAGACACAATTCAATATAATCAAAGGCAAATGTATTACTTTTTCAACTGCAGCAGAGTCTGTGAAATTTCTGAAGTCCTTTAGTGCGTAAACATTTTGTTTGTTGGATACGACTCCAAACCTGGCGTCGTTGGGACCGAGGTAAAATGCATTGACGGTGTTCACAACCAGCTGTACCATTTTGTTGACTTTGTCGCCGCCGTTGTCCGAATAGTGAAGGACAAAGATCACGTCGACCTGTTGCTGTCTAGGACACCTCAGAGGTAGAAGACTTGCTGTTGATTTAAAATTGTGTGGAATAATACTTTAAGCAACATTCTCTCGTTTTACCTATCCGTACAATACGCTGTGGGAATATGTAGTATACAGTATATACAGGAACAAGATATACTATTGAAATATGAAACATTGATATAAGCCATAAACATTAAAATATAATACTTGTCGGTAATTCTATGATAAGAAATATTATTCTGAAAGCGTTAAACACAAATGTTGAATAAGCAAGACATGCTGACAAAGTAATTTGACTTGCCTTGTAGATTTGACTTTGGTGTTGTTGGAACTGCCGCAGTAGAGGGTGCAGCGCTTGGATCTAATTAGTAAAAATAATTTTATTCAACGACATTAATGGCAAACATTACTTAAACGAAAGATTCGATACAAAGTCATAAACGTGTACATACCATTTTAACTTAAAAGTATACTTGCATTGTTGATTTTAAAAGAAACTCATTACATACATTATAAACATTTTAAATGTTGTTATTTGTTTTAATTTATAAACAAGCATGCTTTCAGTTTTTAGAATGTATACGTTTTTTTTTATGTTTACGTAGATTTGATCATGTATATGTACATTTGATTATTACGTGTATGTTGGATCATTTTTAAAGTTCAAAGTAACAATAATAAATTATAATAGATTCCAGAAAAAAAATATTTGTCGCTTTCTACGTGTTCTTTAAAAGATGCTACATTTTGACCAAGAATATTGAAGCCTTGAAATAATGCTACACTAGAACTAGCATATTGAAAACTTGAAATTATCCTACATTTGGACCTAGCATATTGAAACCTTGAAATCATCCTACATTTGGACCTAACATATTGAAACCTTGAAATCGTCCTACATTTGGACATATTGAAACCTTGAAATCGTCCTACATTTGGACCTAACATATTGAAACCTTGAAATCGTCCTACATTTGGACACATTGAAACCTTGAAATCGTCCTACATTTGGACATATTGAAACCTTGAAATCGTCCTACATTTGGACCTAACATATTGAAACCTTGAAATCGTCCTACATTTGGACATATTGAAACCTTGAAATCGTCCTACATTTGGACCTAGCATATTGAAACCTTTACCTGTGCAGAGTTTATCCACTAAATCGTTGCGCACGCCAACCAGCTGTTCGAAGTAGCTGACTAGAAGTATATCTGCGTAAGAGGAGCTGATCTTGCTCATCTCGTCATACGGACAGGTAGTGCCCAAACACACTGTGAGTATGCGTATGCCGCTTTTCTTTAGCGAATCGGCCAGATTCACAGCTATTAAATATCGCAATCAAGTTTTTATAAGTGATGTACATATAGTGATAAGTGATATCATGTTATAGATACATAATTCGAGTTAACATTGTATTTAAATTGTAACTAAATTTTAACAGTTTTATGATACGCAATATTATTTCATGGTAAACTATCATACAACTTTATATTATTTTTTCTTTTGTAATTTTTTGTTTTTGAATATGTGTCAGTAGATTGTCTGTCTACAAATGGCATTTGTGTAAGTCTAGACTTTTTAAAGTTGAAAACAAAGTTAAAAACATAGGTTATGTGTAATCATCAATGATTATGTATGCATTACTTAGCTGTAAGGCGTATGATTTTCCATCTGTGACAAGGACTAGGTTACGTCGTGCCTTCTCCCTGTTGGCCACACTGGAGCCAAACATGTTCGAGTTTTTTATTGCGCTGAACGCCTTGTCCGTGTAGTCCTTTAGATTGAGATCTGTCCTAGCTTTTATAGTCTGGTATTGATAAACAACAGTTGAAAGTATCGGCTTTTATTTTTATTTTTTTAACTTTAAAAGTGTGTAGAAAATTAAGCTTGAAAAAGTTTAAATTATTTGAAATTTTTTTTTGTCTTTAAAATGAATCTGAACTATGTTCCAAAGAGCAGACAACGTTACCTGGTTGATGCTGGCCATGTCTGTTTGGCCCCACAGGTCCAGTAGATTTGCGACATAGTTGCTGTAGGTGACCACACCAAACCTGGCATTGCCCACACCAAGCTTGAACCTGCCGATGACGTCAACAACAAACTGCACCTGCCTGTTCCACTTGTCGGCTGCTGGGTTGTAAAAGTTCTGGAGCACAAATACCGTGTCGATGAGGTTGTTGGCTGGGCAAGTCAGAGGCTGAGGTTGATCAACTAAAACAAAATTACAAAGGTTTACAGATTTCTCAAGAATAGGATCACTGTTGTTATGTTTAGAAAGGTTAATGTTTTGTTTTGATAAAAATAGAACATCTTTGATTTACCATTAAACTTCATATTTAAGAAACTATATTAGAAAGCCTTTCTTCCCTCCCCTATATCCGTTTAAACATTTAAAAAAGATCAATGTTAGCTTTATCTGAGTTTGTAAATTTTAAAACATTTTTTCTTATTCATTTTTACAGTGAAGTAAACTACTTTTAATCTATGCCAGCAATACATTATTAAAAAGTATACTACAATATTTTTATTATACGTTTATCATTAAACCAATGATCTATCATCAACTGAAATAGATATAGTATATTTTCTTACTAGCGAAGACGATAGGCAGTAAGCTCGTCATAAAGATAAGCTTTATAGAGCTAAATTCTGTCATTGTAGAGAGTATTGGAATTCAGTGATTACCTGTATTTAGAGAGTACAAGAAAAGATCATAATTAATGCCAAATATTTACACCCTTGCTTAGCAGTGGTATCAAAAGTGCATGTCTAGTAAATCGAGTATTAAAACAGAAAAAAATAGGCTTGACGGATACGTAATATATCATGAGCGATATGTGTGAGCACGATTACAAACTAAAAATAAAGTAATCGCAACACATGGAGCTTGAATAAAGAACAGTGCATTAAACAATGTACAAATGGCATATATTACAACATAAACCAAGCAATTTTTAATATATATATATAATACTAAATGTACAATCAAACATTTGACACGACAAATGTTTGCACATATAACAAAATACTACCGTCCCTGTTCTATCATGCAGCGAGAGGATACAATTTGACGTTTCTTTTTGTAGACGATAATTTGCTTCCGCACATTTCTCTTTATACTGTTTTTCACAAAAACATACTACTTAAGATACCATTAACATAATAATTATTGCCAACCTTATCAGCGACTCACGCTGGCTATAGACGCACATGGTGAGTCATTAATTCAAGGCCGAAAACTTAGAAAGGACAAAATAGTACTTTTGAAAAATATAAAATCGACAGGTGTGATTCAGAATATTTTTTATAATGCATTGACATGTGTGCATGTATTGTTTTATTTCGACTATTTTCTTTTTAGTTGAGCCTTTCATCATTTGACTTTTTGAATGATACCATGTTAGAGATATTTAAAATCAACCCCTGCCCCTCACACACTCAAACGCGCAACGTCTGCTTTTGGCGACACGCATTATTCTACTACTTCTTATTTCTTCTTCTGCGTTCTTATTTTTAGACTTTTTAGAGATTCACTCAAACACAATTATATATACTGTCAACATGTTATGCGCCATATAGGCCGTTGACTCCAATTTCAGCCTGCTTTCCTTTTTGGTTTTGCTTGTATAACCTTTGCTTCCATAGCAAATTACCAATTACAAGGCAGCAGTTGTTTAATTTTTCAGTTGTCTGCAAGTATAGTTGTTGTCGAGAATCATTTGCCCGAGGCTACGAACTCGAGGCTTTTTGGTTGAGCAGCCATGAGCTTTAGTGGCTTTACCGACCGCCTATTGTACGAACATTTTATTCTTAGCACTTTCATATTTTCTTGTCGGATGAAGCATATATAAATGGTATACAAAACATGTTTCTATTATATTAAAACAAACATTTAACTGTTCGAATAATACTGACACTGAAATTGTGCTAGAGAAATCTGTAAACTTTTGGAATGCATGTAATGCAGTACTTTAAATTCGTAGAGCTATTACGTACACGAGTATGCGTTGGAATATTTATTATCTTTTTTTAATTTAACTTCTGTAACATAAAAATATGTTTGGGCTTCAAAAATTATGTCTTTTGAATATCTTCTTTGAATGCAGATATAAGAAAAATAACGCTGCGAATTAGTTGTCGCTAACAAGTTGTTTACATTATTATTATATTCAGAATTTACAGACCAGTATTACTAGACACAAGTAATCACGAAACTTTACAATGTGTTGGCCTAAGCAGCAACACACACTTTATTTACTTCTAACACAAAGAGAAAGAGTTTTCCCATAACAAATCCTTATGACAGTTTTTTCTCATTGCAACAAAGGCACAGTTGGCGTTAATGTTTAGCTTTAAAGTTAGTTTTCGGGTTACGTTATGGGATAAGGTCAGTATTACGGTTAGGGATTGGGTTAGTTTGTTATGTAAATATTTTGAAGATAATAACCTGACTCTGCATCTTGCCGATCCTAAAAATGTAGATTATTAAAGAAAAATATAAAATGAAAACGTACATACATGAAATGTATAAAAACAAGTGAGTCTGTTTCTCTGTGTGTGTATGTGTATGTGTGTTTCATACTGTTTACTTGGGTGTATGATGTAACAATAGAAATTAATTCTATTTCTGAATATTTAATACATTTTTTTGCTACAGCTTGTGATCTGGAGGTGATCACGAAATGGTCACGTGATCGCTAAACTAATTATTATTCTGAACTTAACCGATGGAAGTAACATTTGAACAGAAAGTTAACGAGATATGCATTATTGACTCTGTTGCTTTTATTCCGTGACATTTATCTAGTACAGATCGTTTAACTTTGTATACTGGGCGCAAAATTTATTGTCTAGTTGCTATTTGGTTCGTACACAAGCTGTCTCAGTTGTTTTTTTCACACCTTTTCTTTTATAACGACATTTAGTTTAGAAATACCTTGACAAAAAACCGCCCACGACCCTAATTTGTCAATGAAAAAAATGCAATGTGTTATGTATTGTACATATTCAGCTCAACTTTTTGAAATAATTTCTTCTGTAGTCATCTTAAGGCACATTAGATATTTTATGACATGACATTTTAGATAGTGTAGAATGGGGTAACATGTATGTTGTAGGACATAACACTAATATTGGACAAGCCAGGACATTAAATGGTTTAGGACAAGGCACATTAGATATAGTAGGACATTACACATACCATTTTTTACAGGACAGGAAAATATATAATGTGGTTGGAAAGTGTGACGAAGTGTGTAAACAGTGTTAATTTGAGAGGTTATGGGTGCAAATGAATGTTGTTGCGAAGAAATAATGAGTGTAGAAAAATTATAACGTGTGTTGAAAGTAGTGAGGTTTGATGCAGAAACGGTGTTTTTGTGTAGTGCTAGTTAATAAGTTCAGAGTAGGATTTTTATGCGAGAGAGTGCTACTTTTTTATGTTAATTCTAACGTAGGGAGCATTAGTCTATGCGTCTTGTAAGTCTGAAACAATCCCCAGCAGGAAGAAGTATTGTGTGTTTGACTAAACACAAAGTGCCGATCTATAAGAAAATAAACTTCAGATCCGATACTCGAATTTCGACAGGTAATTGTCCGTTTGAAAACAAAACATTAGGGCATTTAAATATCAGAAGACAGAGCATATTAAATGTTGTAGTACATGTCACTTTACTTGTTGTAGAACAGGGAATATTAGGTATTGTAGGACATGGCATATTAAATCGTTGAGCACATAGCCTATTAGGACAAAATATCCAAGACAAAATATCTCAGGACAAATGATTGCTAGGACAAAATTTCTCTCGGACAAAAACTCAAAGGACAAAATAAACATCAAGACAAATGAAATAATTAGTCCAGATATATTTTGGGCTAAGCTCTTTTGTCCTGTCACCAACAGGAAGTATTAGATGTTATTAAGACGAAATATATTGTATAACATTTCACAATATCTCTGTGTATGATGAGCACTTTTGATAATGTATTAAGGTCAATTAAATGAATAAATTAATTGTAATAAAAGGCACACTGCATGTTATAGTACATGGCATAATAGATTGTGTAGCACAGTGCACGGTAGGTGTTGTAGCATAGGACATGGTCGGTGTTGTAGCATTGGGCACGGTAAGTATTGTATCATTGGGCACGGTAAATGTTGTAGCATAGGACATAGTAGGTGTTGTATCATTGGGCACGGTAAATGTTGTAGCATAGGACATGGTAGGTGTTGTAGGGCAGGGCACGGTAAATGTTGTAGCATAGGACATGGTAGGTGTTGTATCATTGGGCACGGTAAATGTTGTAGCATAGGACATGGTAGGTGTTGTAGGGCAGGGCACGGTAAATGTTGTAGCATAGGACATGGTAGGTGTTGTATCATTGGGCACGGTAAATGTGGTAGCATAGGGCACGGTAGGTGTTGTAGGGCAGGGCACGGTAAGTGTTATAGTATAGGGCACGGTAGGTGTTGTTAGATAGGGTACAGTAGGTGATGTAGCATCCGGCATGGTAAGTATTGTGTTTATTAAGCAGCATATACTCGGCAATGCCCGGGATTAGAAAATATATTACTTTTCGCATTAACCTTAACAATAACCAACCAAAACCAAAACAAAATAAACGCAAACACAGACGAAACACAAACACCAACGCAAACACAAACACACAAAAAAACACAAAAAAAGCAAACGCTAACAAAAACACTAACACTAACACTAACAGAAACAGAAACAGAAACAGAAACAGAAACAGAAACACAAACCCAACCACAAACACAAACGCAAATGCGCAAAGGTTCACCTACCTTGGAAGTATTGTTGATAAGCAGGGTGGGACAGAAGCAGACATAAAAATAAGGACCGGTAAGGCAAGATCTGTCTTCAACCAACTAAAAAATATTTGGGGTTCTGGAGATTTAACCCTAGGAAAAATAATCCGGATCTTCAACACACTAGTAAAACCTGTTTTACTCTATGGAGCTGAGTAATGGAGAAAAACTGCTATAAATAAGAAGAAAATACAATAATTTATAAACGCATGCCTCAGAAAGATCCTACGAATTCGCTGGCCTAAAACCAACAGAAATGATGTTCTATGTCAACGGACAAATCAACTGCCAGCTGAAGTAGAGATCCTCCAGAGAAAATATAAATGGATTGGCCACACACTCAGGAAGCCTGTCTCCAGCATAACAAGACAGGCCCTCACCCGGAATCCACAGGACAGGAGGAGTACAGGCAGACCAAGAAAGACCTGGAGACGTGACCTGGAAGAAGACACCAAGAAGATTGGATACACATGGGGACAGGACTAGCCCAGGACAGAGACGCCTGGAAAGCTCTTGTCAGCGGCCTATGTCCCAGGTGGGGCGACAGGCAAACCTAATCTAAACTAACCTAAATGCGAACGTAAACACAAACTTAAACGCAAATATAAACGTGTAGCGCTACAGTCTTGTCTAGGGCGCCAAATCGCACACTACCAGGGCGACGGCGGAACCACCTGATTCAAATTAGTAAACGACTATAATACTCCAATGTATACATAGCCTTTTGCACTCACTTAAGCGAACGTAGATGCCGTATCGTTCACGGGAAGACCCAGGGCGTAAAATGGCACACTGTTGTGGCGCCAGACGACGCTCTGGATTCGATTAGTAAATGACGTACACGCGCACGTACACGCACACGTACACGCACACGTACACGCGCGCGTACACGCACACGTACACGTACACGCACATGTACACGCACACACACACGCACACGTACACGCACACGTACACGCACAAGCACACGCACACGCACACGCACACGCACACGCACACGTACACGTACACGTACACGTACACGTACACGTACACGTACACGTACACGTACACGTACACGTACACGTACACGTACACGTACACGTACACGTACACGTACACGTACACGTACACGTACACGTACACGTACACGTACACGTACACGTACACGTACACGTACACGTACACGTACACGTACACGTACACGTACACGTACACGTACACGTACACGTACACGTACACGTACACGTACACGTACACGTACACGTACACGTACACGTACACGTACACGTACACGTACACGTACACGTACACGTACACGTACACGTACACGTACACGTACACGTACACAGCTCACGTCACGTACCATAGCTCACCTAATATTTACCTTTCCTATCTTTGCTTCAACTCAGTTTACTTTACTTTATCTCACCTCAACTCACCTGACAGTAACCTCACGTCACATCAAATTTACCTCAATTCACCTAATATTTACTTCAACTAACTATACTTTACTTAACTTTTTGACCGAATAGAGAAAAGTAACAATTTCCACCAAATAGCTGCTGTCTAATTATCTACACCAGGGGTCTCCAAACTACGGCCCGCGGGCCGGATGCGGCCCGTGATGTCCTCTCATCCGGCCCGCGGAGATCTTTGTGTGCACGGAAAAAAATGTTTGTTGGAGATGCCCAGAAAATTCAAAACAATGAGATTTGAAAATGTAGTAAGCTTTGGGTGCAAATACCATTGCCCGCAGTGTTGCAGACAATTGTGAAAACATTGTGATTCAAATAGCGAAAAATGCAAGCAAGTTTCGCCATTTTTCAATTGCAATGGATGAGTCGCTGAAATTTAGATATATTTCTATATAATTTATACTTCGTTGGGGTGGTGGGAGAAATAGGGGTGTATGTTTTTCGGTGGGGAGTGGGGGGGGGGGGGGGGTGGGGGGTTCCGCCACCCCCAAAGAGATGCCTGGAAGGAACTGGTCCCCTAACTGATATTTGATAGTTAATGCGGCCCTTGGGCTGAAAAGTTTGGAGACCCCTGATCTACACCAATGTTAAACCATATTATATATATATATACAAGCATATATATGTGTCTCTTTGTGTGTGTCTGTGTCAGCGAATGTGTGTGTGTGTGTGTCAACTGTTTACGTGAGTGTATTATGTAGCATTATAAATTACTTCATTTTCTGAATTTTACTAATTAATTGTTGTGACATCTTGTGGTCTGAAGGTGATCACGAAATGACTACGTGGTCTCTAAACTGATTATTATGTACACAGAAAGTTTGAAAAAAAAATGCTTCTTGACCCTGTTCCTTTTATTCGATGACTTTTATCTAGTTCAGAACATTGGACCCTAAGCACTGGAGGCAAAATATATGGTCTAGTTCTTGCCTAGGTCTTATACAAGCTGTCTCAGTTTTGTCCACACAGTTTCTTCTATAACATATCGATTTGCGACATTTCTTTCAGAAAATACACAACAAAAAAAAGCTACCCACGGCCCTCATTCAGCTAAAAAATGTATTAAGGTCAACATTATGCATATTCAGCTCAACGTGTCGAAATAAATTCTTCTCTAGCCATCTTAAGGTACATTAGATATTTTACGACATGAATTTTTAGATAGTGATCGAAAGGATGAAATAGATATATGACAAGCCAGGACAGTACATATTTTAGGACATGACTTTTTAGATAGTGTAGAAAAGGATGAAATAGATATATGACAAGCAAGGACAATACATATTTTAGGACATGACTTTTTAGAAATATTAGGAAGGTAAAATATATATGTGTGGGAATAACACTTTAGATAATATATTATACGACAAGACATTAAATAGTTTAGGATAAGGCACAAACAATGTTGTAGAGCAAGGAAAACAAGATTTGTACAACACGATAAAACAGTGCATAGTGCGTGGTGTGAGTTAGAGAATGTTTCGGTGCGAATGAAGATTGGTGTAAAATAATAATGAATTTAAACAATTATAAGGTGTATTGAAGATAGTGACGTTTGCTGTAGAAAATGTGTGGTTGTGTACTGCAAGTGAAACAGTTCCATCTAGGCTTTTGATGTGACAGGTTGTTTCGTCTTGATGGTCGTTGTGTAATGAAGTCTTTCTCTGTAAGACAGGGCACATTACATTATACAGGACAATGTACACTAGATTGCAAGAACAGGGCACACTAGATTCGGAATACATAGCATATTAGTTTTTGAAGAACAGAGCATTTTCAGACATGGCACATTATTCAATTTATTCAACAACGTTAACAACAGTAGACAGTGAGGCCTTTTTGAAACTGACCGCTATAAAAAAACACATAATAACTAATGGTCACTGGTTAATTAATAAATAATGTGATAGCTATAAAGCGATCATTCTCCGCTGACCAACTGTGTATTTTTTTTTTGCACGTTTATTCAATCGTTGAAATGTCCGATTGGAATTATTGTAATATCAAGAAATCATTTACGTCATTACAAATTATTTAGAAAAGATGAAAAGAAAACTTCAAACTTTTGAATATTTATTCTCATAATAATACATGCACTATGATAAATGACGTGTGTTTGAGCACATCTTTCTAATTAACCAACAGGTTAACATTTTTAAAAAAATGCATTTTAAAAAAAGTAATGTTTTTCATTTAACAAAAAACTGAAATCTCATAAATTTCGTGTTTGAAACAGCATACTTGATGATAATAAATTCCAAAGAGTATCCAAAACGTTTTTGGAAATGCCGATAAAAGAAAGGTACAAACACTTGGCTTTAAGCCCGCCCATTTCTACAAATCTGTGCATGTCTTTTTACCGAATGTATATTCCACTCAAATGGCTAGACGGTACAGTGAAGCTGTTGAAATCATACCAACATGTTATATATGAATACCAATAATCTATTTTAAATACATTTAATATTACGGTGAATTATCATATTAATAGTTATACGTTGTAGTGTCCTACATCTCAGTTGTGTTTAAACGTATGGATCTAGAGCCAGAAAACGCTATTTAAATTAGAGAGAAATATATTTAAAATTGGGTACCTTCACAAATTCTGCTGACAAGCACACTTTTAATGTACCATGAGGCGTCAAAGCTGTCGGCCAAGATAATGTCTTCACGAAATGTATATCTGTTGAGATCTGACAACAAGTAATCGTTGCCTGCAGTGAACGTGATGAGGGTATTTCCTTTCAGCATGGTCGACATCACAGACTTGCTTGCTGGTTGCAGAAAACAAAGATCATTTCGTTTATAAACAAATCTATTATTTGTAAAAAATAAATACATGCTTGCGACTTACGTGGGACGGCGGGGTCTAGTGGTAGAGCTCTCGACTGCTATCTCGAAAGTCTCAAGTTCAAATCTGGGTCCAAGTAGGCAGAACGTTTATAAGTACACACAGCTCTGATGGGTACCTTACTCAACTTAGGGAAATTAAAAGCGGATGAGCATAGTGCTTGTGAACTCTACTTCACTTGCCCCATGGACATTACGACTTAATTTCATTTCTTACCTTTCGTTGGTTAATACTTGTATATAATAAAATAATTGTTAATATTTTATATGTTGATTGCTACAGAATTCAAAATCAATGATTGTTTTGATCTGTTGGCATTTGTTAGACTTATGGTTCCGCTAGTTCTGAGCGTGCAGCCCAATTTTGCTCACAACACCTGGTCTTAGATTACGAAGGGATGTGGGGAAATGTGTCAAAGGGTGACCTTACAGTCCAGATATCGACTAAACAACTCGTAAACAAATGTACGCTTACACCTGTTTAACGTCGTCACACACATAACACCTCAACACTCTTCCTGTATAACATTAAATTTTACTTTCTCGCATACAGAGTATAGAGGAAGAATTTTAATCGCATGAAATTTTGACAGTTTTCACCGTTTTACACTTCAGTATTTCCTCATATACGGAGTATAGGGGACTATTTTAATGGGACAAACATTCTAAATTCAAATTTAGCAAAATATCAGCATTTTACGCGTAATCGAGTCGGAAAAACTGAGCTTTGCAATTATGTACGTGTGTTTTGAGTATGTGGATGTGTGGATGTCTGTGAACATTCATCTACGTTTCTGTTTTCTTTCATATTTTGAGAAATTTCGGTTTAACGGAAGTTGTACTTTCTCAAAAAACGCATAGGAATGAATAAAGTACTAATATACACACATTGTTTGCTATTCACTTGGTGCGCAGTTCTATTTTCTACGAGATTCTAATCTATTATATTTTTGAAATTTGTAAGTATTTAAAAATTACTAAAAATCAAGTCTATATCCCGAGTTGTAATCCCCAGTAGTGTTATAATATATGTATAAGCATGTTGAGGCGAGATCACTCCCGCTTTATTAATTTAACCAACAATCACTATACGTTATTCTTGAAAGTTGTATCTATTTATTTGTTAACAAACAGAACATAAAATCGATCACTTGATGTTGGTTGCAATAGAGACATTAAATTATCAGATATAGTTGTCCGTCTATATTAGCTTTAATAGGTAATAGATACATTACTTTCAGCGACGAAATTTGCATAGCCATCACTAATCAAAACCATGGCAGGAAGTGCATTGGGCCTTCCTCCAGCCGCCTGTTCAAACATGCCCCAGTTTTTGATGGCGTTGAAAGCTGTGTGTGTGTACGTCTGTCCGTTCATGAACTCTACTGCTTTTAGGGCCTAGAGAATCGACATTTATTTTATTTTAAACGTAGCTCATTTTCATACTTAAATATACACACAAGATCATAAGATGTACTCTCAAATTTGATATTTTCAACGCAAAGAGAGCATTGCTTCAACAATGTAAATAATGTAGGATGATTCATTGTAATATGCGGTCTGTAAACACACCCTTTCAAATAATAAAACTAAGGATGATTTATTTTACTTTGTATGTTGCATACAAAATATGTTTGTGTTTACGCTATTCAGACAAGTTAGAATAATGATTTGAAACTGAAACAGGAATAACTTGTATGAGAGAAAACGGATCATTTTACTTTGATAACTCCCTAATTTTAGCACAAAAATAACAACGCTACAAACTGAATATTACAGACACAGTGTTTACACAGAAAACAAAAGTTACCTTTCATCATCTTTAATTAGTGGAAAATATCTTACCTTTTCAATAGAAGCATAATCAGAAAACGTCTTCAGATCAAATATTTTGATGGGGTAAGAGCTGTATGCGACGGCGGCGACTTGCACGTCTTTTGGTCCCAGCTTCAGTTGCTTGATGACGTCAACGACAAGCTGCACCTGTTTGTTCCAGTTTAAGAACCCCTGGCTTGTAGAGGAGTCCAGTATAAATATCAGGTCCAGAACAGTACCGCTTGAGCAGGTCAGTTGTGGGGTCAACGGATTGGCTGGTAGATGGCAAAGTTAACCTATTGTTATCATTCACACATACACTCGAACGTACATATAAATACACCGATATATACATACATACATGAAAATGCATACATAAACATACATATGAGTACATACCTACACACTTACACATTCATATTTACATACACAGGTGCAAACCCGTGAAATAACACACATACGTACACATACAAGCACACACTGTAACACACGTACACTCCGGATATTCACTACTGATGAGTTAAAAAAATAATAAAGTAAAACAAAAGTCATGTATTAAATTTACCTGCACAAGTTTTGTCAACAATTCTTGTTTTGAGTAGAGACAAAGCATCGAACGTGTCAGCCACAAGCAGGTCATTGATACCAGTAGTCGCAGCCATAAGATCAGCGAGAGATACGTTGTTGACACCGACTGATATAACTCTTGCTCCGGCAGCCTTCAACTTACTGGCCGTCTGTGCGGCTGTTTGGGAGTAAAATTTTAGTTTCCTTTGATTTCAGTGTGTTCACTTTAATTCCTTTGTGAAAATCTATTGCTTTTCATATCTTAAGTATCTATCATTTTACCCCGATCATTTTAATGAAAATAAATAAAAACTACTAATTGTTTAGTCTGATTGACATTTTTACTTACAGTTATTGACAGGTGACGCCAGACCATCAGAAATTAGTATAACAACCCCAGGCACTGCATTACGGACACCACGGTTGTTGCCCACCAAGTTCCATCCAAGTATGGTTTTATAGGCTTGGTCAGTCAGGGATGTGGCATTCAGAGTTCCTGCTCCCTTGAGTGCCTATATATATATATATATATATATATATATATATATATATATATATATATATATATATATATATATATATATATATATATATATATATATATATATATATATATATATATATATATATATATATATATATATATGATGCATATGCATATATTTGTGAAGTTACTGCTTGTATGATGCGAGTAAGTGTAGATATTGTATAAGTAATACAATGTAGTGATACCATACTGACCGTTTCAAAAGATGTAGTACCAGTACAATTCCTGAGGTCGAAGAGCCTGACCTGTGACTTGGCAAACGTGACCACAGCGAACCTGGCGTCGTTGGCCCCGAACTTGAAGAACTTGGTGATGTCGATGATGAACTGGATCCCCTTGTTCCAGTCGGCGGTGCCTGCTGTGCCGTTGTACTCAAAGAGGAATATCGCGTCGAGGATTGTGTTGGCGGGACACAGGACACTGCCGGATGTATAGGTGAGTAGCTTGGAACCCGCTGGGCATAAATATATATAAAATATATTATCACATTTTAATTATAAAACATAGGTAATTTAGTATTCAAGACAAGTTAAGTATATAAATTATGTTAACTTAGTATAATTGTATTGTAAAGAACAAGTGATTATGTACCGTCAACAGAAATAAATATTAAGTCGGTCTACTTATTACCAACTATTAAGTATTTATTCAGTGGTATTTAGCATATATGACAAGTTCTAATGAATATACAACGGTTTATTCCACCATACCTACCCAAACACGTCCTTTGTACGGTCTTGTTTTTCAGGTCAGACAAGGTGTCAAAACTTGCTGTCAGTAGGGCGTCATCAGCGGACGATGACTGAGCATTAAGGACTGGAACAGATACACTACTGCCAATACCAATGGTGACAATTTTAGCGCCAAGCTTTTTTAAAGGATCAATCGCTGAAATTGAAATAAAATTAAAATTTTACTTTTACTCCATGACAAGTCATGTGTTAAAGTAACAGCTGTAACTTATGTTTTGTGACATCAATCGCTGGGAACAGTACACGAATAAAACAAACACACGTACTAAGTATGTGTATCCTCAAGTTTAAACTTCAAGTACATTTTAGAAGACATTTAAAATACGTGTTTTCAATATTCTAAAGTAGGCCTATATAGATCTACTAAAAATTCGCGGTAAGTATTTTAAAGCGATCAGCTATTAACATTTCTTAATCAATTGTGTTGTTTGAGAAGAAGATAAAACAGACTGAAATATTAATTAACATTTGCAATTATTGCAATTTTTAAAATTGAAAAGTTAAAGTGGAATAAAACAAAAATTGCTACTGGAAAAAAATGCATTTTAAAATATAACAAATTCAAACCCATTAGTATCAATATTGTTCAATCTTGTGGACTATAGAAAAACAAGTTTTAGTGTTAAAATTTACATTTGTTCAAATACGCCGAGGAACCGTCAGTGATATAAACGGCAACGCTTTGAGCAGATTTTCTTGCTGTCTCCTTGTTAGAGAACATGTTCCATCCCAAAATGGTGTTGTAGACTTGATCAGTCAGGGCTGGGGCACTTTGGCTTCCTGGACCTTTCAAAGCCTGAGGAAGTAGTTTTTGTAGACAAAGCTTAGGTAAAGCCACGCTTCTTAAACGATTAAACATTATGTCGTGCTCATGGAACCGAACTAGAAAGTGATTGTTTATATGAAGGCATTCACCACAAACAATGTATATATCATACTTGTCCTACAACACCATTAACCACAAGTGGACTGATAATGTATTTTTTTTTTAAATTTCGGTGTGGTAAAATACCATTAAAATTAATTGCTAAATTTATTGGTGTTTCGCCATACCGAATTTTGAATATTGGAAAAAATAATTTTTACAGCGTTTATGCTACAAAAACTAGCCAGCGAATTCTATTAATGTTAGTAAAAGGGTCAATGAATATATTAAATATATACGGTTTTTTAGAACGTGAGACTTCCACAAAATTTTTTTTTTCAATATGGCCTTTGCCATGAAAACGACATTTTTTCAGAAGAGTGCCTGATGTATGAAAATATTTACCCTTAAGTACCCTAACTTATATACACACTAATAAGTTAACAAAGATTATCAATAAAGAAGTTGTTTTTGTCTGCGACATTACATTATCTAAACCAGAGTAGTCGGTCAAATTCCTGAGGTCGTACAACGTAACAGCGCCCTTAACGTAACCAACAGCAGCAAATCTGGCGTCATTGGGTCCGATCTTGTACTGTTTGATGACGTCAACTACAAACTGGAGCGCCTTGTTCCAGTTGCCGTTACCAGCAAAGTTGACGTAGTCGATAAAAAACGTCACGTCAACTTGTGTGTTGTCTGGGCATCTAAGGTCATCTTGTGAAAAAAAAAATAATGTGCATATATATATATATATATATATATATATATATATATATATATATATATATATATATATATATATATATATATATATATATATATATACTAGGCATACTGCCTAGCTTCGCTTAGGTTTTCAAAAAACCTTTGTGAATTTGAATAATTAATTAATTGGTTATTGGCTTTTTTTTTTCTTTTTTTTTTCTCTTTTTTTCTTTTTTTTCTCTTTTTTTTGCCTCAGACATGTAATTTACAGCGTCAGTTGTGTGTGTTCGCTTTAGTATTACAGTTTTCATCACCGGCTTGTGAGGACTGATACAGATTTACAATAGTAATATTTCTTTCTTACTTGTAGATGGTTTACTTTACATAGATCTAATGAAAAACGTCTAAATAAAAAAAAATTAGCTGTTATATGGAGTGCTTAGGGCCTAAGTTTAAACATTTCATGACAACAATAGCGGAGTATTCGCAAAGTTATTACTAGAATTGCAAAGGCTTCCTTAATACTATAAATAAAATATTATATAAAAATAACTTTCTCAATTAATTTCTTGCAATTTCAGTACAATACCTTACAATACATTACTTTAATTATAACGAAATATCTATTTAAATGAATGCTATACTTTGTGATTTTTGTTTTTACTTTAAAATAGTATAAAATTATTTTTAAAATATTCCTTTAAAATGTTACCTCCCCTGTACATATACCAAACGACGTAGTCTTTATTTACTTTTTCATAAACAATTGTTTATATAACAAATACGGCATCTGGACAAATCTAACGACCCTAAGGGGTTTTTCCGACGGGAATAATGCTATTTTTTCGTTCGTCAATGTATTTATATATATATATATATATCGTGCGGCGTCAATTCGGCCAATGACGAAACGGCCCCGTCAAAACGACCCCGACAAAACGACCCCGTCAAAACGACCCCGTCAAATCGGCCCCGTCAAAAGGGCCAGCGACATATGGACCCCGTCATATAGGCTCCCGACAAATAGGCTCCCGTCATTTAGGCTACCGACAAATAGGCTCCCGTTATATAGGCTCCCGACAAAAGGGCTCCAGTCAATAAGGCTCCTGACAAATAGGCTCCCGTCATTTTGGCTCCCGACATATGGTCTCCCGTCATTTAGTTTTTTCCACAAAACGACCCCCGTCATTACGACTACCGACAAATAGGCTCCCGCCATTTAGTTTCTCCACAAAACGGCCCCCGTCATTACGACTCCCGACAAATAGGCTAGCGTCATTTTGGCTCCCGACAAAAAGGCTCCTGTCAATTTGGCTCCAGACAAAAGGACCACTGACACAGTGGCGTAGCTACCGTAAAGCTAGCGTAAGCAAGGCATGGGGGCCCAAGGCACATAGGGGCCCTTTTCCCTCATAAAAAATTAAAACTTTTACAATGGAATTTTAATATTTGTTACATATAAATAATTTTAAAAAAGAAAAAGGTTAAAAGTTCCAAAAAGACCCCCCCCCCCACCGTTTCGGCATTGGGATTCAGTGTGTGTGGGGGGGGGGGGGGGCAAACAGAGCCCAATCGTTATAATAACACTACAGGCTATATCACTTTGTCGTGCAAGACATTGAGAGAATCAGCCTATAAATAAACTTTTTAGCAGTAGTAGGCAAGCATAATAATATAGTATAAATACAAAATCAGGACATATAAAATACAAAATGTTGCCTTCAGAATATTTATATATTAAAAAATATCCATCGTAAGTAGAAGTTGATCTCTTCGTTTAACTCCTCTGTAGCCAAACGCAGAGGCGTAGCGAAGGCGAGGCGGGGGGTGCGGACCGCAACGGGTGACACCATTTAGGGGGGGGGGGGGTGACACCAAAGGCAAAAAATTGTAAAATTTATAGAATGAAATGCCTTTTTCCAGATCCATTAGTTAAAGTTAAATAGTCTTCTAAGTACAAATCGAAAATTATATCAAGGGGGGGGGGGGGTGTGTGACACCACGACGTAAACGTAAACTATAAAGAAAACAATGCTACATCCAACTGTATTATAAACAGACTGTAGATAAACATCGTTACTATTAAGTCAGCAGTGATTAAAGCTTAAACACGTACGTGTACCAGTATGTGGCATATATATAAATTTTAGGCCTATGTAGGCCGACACACACACACACATACACACACACATATATATATATATATATATATATATATATATATATATATATATATATATATATATATATGCTTTGTTTCCTGGGAGGGGGTGACAATACGAAGTGCCGCACCGGGTGAGACCCGACCTAGCGACGCCACTGGCCTAATTTTTGCATAGGGGCCCAAAAATCCTAGCTACGCCACTGCACTGACAATACCGTTTCTGTAGAGACTAAGTCTCCCGGCAAAGCGGTCTCATTGAATATGACATCTGCCAGTGGGACCCCTTCATCAATATTCTTTAGAGTTAGCTTATCCAACACTCTTATGTAATACAACGTATGCATCTCTTGTTGGCAGGCCTTATTTTTATATTAGTTTATCTATTATAAAATATAGTATGTTTTAATTTAAGGGTCATCTATCTATGACATCCATAATTGAGTCGGTTATAGGCTGTTCCAACTCATTGTGTGGGGAGAAGGGTCCACGCTGTACCTTCCTAACTGCAATATGCTTGTACAGGGGCGTAGCGAGGGGGGGGGGGGGCGGGGGGTGCGGACCGCATCGGGTGACACCATTTAGGGGGGTGATACAAAGGCAAAAAATAGCAAAATATATAGAGAAAAAGTTGAGGGGGTGGGGGTGCAAATCGAAAGTTTGGGGGGGGGGGTGCAAATCGAAAACTTGAAAGTTTGTCCCCGGGAAGGGTCGCAACGCCTCTGGGGGGGGGGGGGGGGGTTACACCATTAAGTGCCGCACCGGGTGACACCCGACCTCGCTACGCCACTGTGCTTGTAGGTTATCAAAACAAAATGCTGTTATCATGTTAACATCATGTATATCATACATTTACACTTCTGTGCTCGCTTTTAAGCAACAGATCTTTTCTGTTGTAAATTAAACATTATCAAAACTTTAGAATTGGTAGAATTTAGCTGTTAAGGGCTCGATTTGTTTGTGAATTAATGTTGGTTCATGAAAAAATAATTTCATTCGGGCATTAAAAAGAGGTTATGGTGGTATTGGAGGTAGGACACAATGGTTACTTTTATGCCAATAGTGGTCATATCATTCATTTTTCTGGAGCCAATATGTCGGGAGTCATTTTGTCAAAAGCCTATATGTCGGGAGCCCAATTGCCGGGAGCCAATATGTCGGGAGCCCATTTGTCGGTAGCCAAAATGTCGTGAGCCCATTTGCCGGGAGCCCATTTGTCTTTAGCCCTTATGTCGGGAGCCAATATGTCGGGAGCCGCTTTGTCGGGAGCCAATATGTCCTGAGCCTATTTGTCAGGGGTTAATATGTCGGGAGTCCATTTGTCGGGAGCCTAAATATCGGGAGCCCATTTGTCGGGAGCCTATATGTCGCAAGTCAATATGACGGGAGCCCATTAGACGGGAGCCAATAAGTCGGGGCCTTTTTGACGGGGCTATTTTGACGGGGTCGGTTTGTCGGGAGTCGATTTGACGGGGTCGTATTAACGGGGCCGTTTTGACGGGGCCGATTTGTCCCGGGCCGTTTTGACAGGGCACCATATATATATATATATATATATATATATATATATATATATATATATATATATATATATATATATATATCATGCAATGATAATTTCAATCGCGGTCAGTTTTTAGCCCTCGTCGAGGGTTTTGAGTCTGTCCAACTGTTTTTCAAAATCGGCCTATTCATCAATAGAGGTGCTTGCAAAAATTAGCCAGATATACCCGAACATTTGTGTTTAAATTACCCTGTTTTTCACATAAAATACAAAGATTATTTAGGGAAATTTCTAGACACCCCTAGAAGTTCTTCTACTACCTCACAAAACAACAAAGGTGTCGTTCGGCAAAAGTGTTTTTCGTAATATAGCTCATACAATGAGAATTTCACTCGCGGTCACTTTTTAGCCCTCGTCGAGGGCTGTGATTCCAACCGACAGTTTTTCAATACGGCCTAGCCATTTACCTAGGTGCGTACCAAAAAATTAGCATGATAAACAGAGAGTAAATACCCTAAAATATTTGTTGAAAGTACCCTCTTTTTCACATAAAATACAAAGATCATATAGGGAAATACAACTGGTCAGTTTTTACCCATTTCTAGATTTTTCCCGGCTGTG